AGGCCTCTGTAGCAGTGTGCTTCTTTGACACTGAGGGTATGTCTATACTACCTGCTGGATTGGTGGGCAGCGACTGATCCAGCAGGGGTCGATTTATCGCATCTAGTGTAGACACGATAAATTGACTCCCGAACGCTCTCCCATCTACTCCTGTACTCCTCCACTGTGAGAGGTGCAGGCAGAGTCGACGGGGGAGCGGCAGCAGTCGACTCACCGCAGTGAAGACACCGTGGTGAGTAGATCTAAGTACGTTGACTTCAGCTACATTATTCACGTAGCTGAAGTTGCGTAACTTAGATCGATCTCCCCCCTACTGTAGACCAGGCCATATCTGTGCAGCAACATGACCCGGAGCAGCGCAACCATGTTCTGTAGGTGGAATTGCACACAGGGTGTTTTGGCACCCTTGGTTTCTTTATTTCTGTGGGTGTAGCTAAACCCAGGAACCCCTGCTAAAGCCGCCCCTGCACTGGGACAATGCTGGCAGTTGTACATATGTGCAGACACAACTCAACTTCTTGTTATCTTTGCAACTGAAGTTGTTTTGTAGCAGTTCATATATGTAAAAAGAGGAATATTTTTCCTGAAAGACATTGCTTTTATTTTCACAAATTTCAAGACAGTAGAATCTGCATTAGTCATCTGCTGGGCTAAAAATTACCTTGGCTGCAAATTTGCCTCAATCATTGAACACATCTTTCCCTCATCTGGCAGCCTTTTGCTTCCCAGCCCTTCAGGTCTTCCTCTCTCCTCCCTCAAAGAGAGGAAAGTGATCAGGAACAATCAGCATGGATTCACCAAGGGAAAGTCATCCCTGACTAACCTAATTGCCTTCTATGACGAGATAACTGGCTCTGTGGATGAGGGGAAAGCAGTGGATGTGTTATTCCTTGACTTTAGCAAAGCTTTTGATACAGTCTCCCACAGTATTCTTGCCAGCAAGTTAAAGAAGTATGGGCTGGATGAATGGCCTATAAGGTGGATAGAAAGCTGGCTAGATTGTTGGGCTCAATGGGTAGTGATCAATGGCTCCATGTCTAGGCAGCTGGTATCAAGCGGAGAGCCCGAAGGGTCAGTCTTGGGGACGGTTTTGTTCAATATCTTCATTAATGATCTGGAGGATGCCGTGGATTGCACCGTTTGCAGATGACACTAAACTGGGAGGAGTGGTAGATATGCTGGAGGGTACAGATAGGATACAGAGGGACCTAGACAAATTAGAGGATTGGGCCAAAAGAAACCTGATGAGGTTCAACAAGGACAAGTGCAGAGTCCTGCACTTAAGACGGAAGAATCCCATGCACTGCTACAGACTGGGGACCTAGTGGCAGAAAAGGACCTAGGGGTTACAGTGGACAAGAATATGTCCTGGATATGAGTCAACAGTGTGCCCTTGTTGCCAAGAAGGCTAACACATTTTGGGCTGTATAAGTAGGAGCATTGCGAGCAGATCAAGGGATGTGCTCATTCCCCTCTATTCGGCATTGGTGAGGCCTCATCTGGAGTACTGTGTCCAGTTTTGGGCCCCACACTACAAGAAGGATGTGGAAAAATTGGAAAGAGTCCAGCGGAGGGCAACAAAAATGATTAAGGGGCTGGAGCACATGACTTATGAGGAGAGGCTGAGGGAACTGGGATTATTTATTCTGCAGAAGAGAAGAATGAGGGGGGATTTGATAGCTGCTTTCAACTACCTGAAAGGGGGTATCATAAACATACAGCTAAGGGTAGCATAAAATCCCTCCTTACCCTGTAAAGGGTTAATCCCTCCTTTACCTGTAAGGGGTTAAGAAGCTCAGATAACCTGGTTGGCACCTGACCAAAAGGACCAATAAGGGAAGAAGATATTTTCAAATCTGTGGAGGAAGTTTTTTGTTTTGTGTTCCGTTGTTCTCTCCAGGTCAGCGAGGAACCAGGGCAGGGAAAATACATCTCCCTAAGCCATATCTAAACTAAGCATCTAATATTACAGAAATAGTAAGTAATAGCAAGAAAATGCGTTAGATTATCTTTTGTTTTAGCTTGTGAATTTTCTCTGTGCTAAAAGGGAGGTTTATCCCTGTTTTTGTAACTTTAAAGTTTTGCCTAGAGGGGAAATCCTCTGTGTTTTGAATCTTTTTGTTACCCTGTAAAGTTATCTTCCATCCTGATTTTACAGAGGTTATTCTTTTATCTTTTTTTTGGTAAATAAATTTCTTTAAAGAACCTGATTGTTTTTCAGTGTCCTAAAGACCCAAGGGGTTTGATCTGTGCTCACTTTGTAACCAATTGTTTAGGATATTATTCTCAAACCTCCTCAGGAAAGGGGGTGTAGAGGCTTGGGGGGATATTTTGGGGGAAGTAGGGCTCCAAGTAGCCCTCCCTGAATGTTTGTTTAAATCACTTGGTGGTGTCAGCGATACTAAGGGCAAGGAAGGAATTTGTGCCTTGGGGAAGTTTTAAACCTAAGCTGGTAGAAATAAGCGTAGGGTTTTTTTTTTCATGCGGGTCCCCACATCTGTACCCCAGAGTTCAGAGTGGGGAGGGAACCCTGACAGGGGGTTCCAAACTCCAAAGAGGATGGATCTAGACTGTTCTCAGTGGTAGCAGATGACAGAACAAGGAGTAATGGTATCAAGTTGCAGTGGGGGAGGTTTAGGAAAAACTTTTTCACTAGGAGGGTGGTGAAGCACTGGAATGGGTTACCTAGGGAGGTGGTGGAATCTCCTTCCTTAGATGTTTTTAAGGTCAGGCTTGACAAAGCCCTGGCTGGGATGATTTAGTTGGGGATTGGTCCTGCTTTGAGCATTGGACTAGCTGACCTGAGGTCCCTTCCAACTCTGATATTCTATGATTCTATGAAAGCCCCATTCCTTTTCCAACCCCTGTGCTCCTATTAGCTCAATCCTTCCTAAGTTCCCCTCTCTTCACTCCAGCCCTATATATTAAAAAAAGCTTTCACTTTATCTCTGGAGACAGCAGTTATGTCTCATCAGCTTGGACCGTCCCTTCTCCACATCAGTGGATGTACAGACCAAAAGTCCATTTTATGAACAATGGCTGACAAAATGTGCTTTGACAGTTCCATAACTGGTGCGCATTCTTGTTGATTCTTTATTCAAGCAGAGAAGAGACAAGGATGATCTTAGTGTCATTTAACACAAAACAATCCCTAATTTATTTATATTATAGTGGTGGCTAGAGGCCCTAAGTTGCAGGCTAGCAACCTAACCACTAGACCCCCCTTTTTCTCCTGCTACCCTACTCTCTGAGATAGGCAACTAGAGATTATTCAGATGTTATAGTGATGAGTGCCTCAAACATACCTACAATTAAATTAGATAGAGTGATCCCAGCACAGGAGGAGGAGGCCAACTGCTTCTTTGTGACTATCCAGGAAGAGTCTGCACCATAGACATAGACTCTTGGAGACTGAAATATACTTCATTGGCCTCTCCTCCAGAAGGCAGGCTGCTGGATACAGACTTTTTGGTGGACAACTTCGCTATTCATAGGATAGCAGCTTCAGAACCCGATCTCAGTGTCCAGATCCAGCTTGTCTGGTTCAAGTGGGGATGGATTTCTTCCCTGGTTCGAGTGGTGATGTATTTCATCCCTAACTATTTGTCCATCTCTATAAACTAACCTTACAGAACTGGTAAGAGAATCAAGTCCTAAGGCTGTTTCGGAAACAACACTCCTGCCCACTTTTTATTAGATAACATGTAACAATGGTAAAATGTACCAGATGTATTTTCACAGTCACATGGGCAAAGTAAAGTATGGCATAGCACATGTTGACCTACATGCCACCCTGTACGCATTACCATGGCATGTCATGAAAGGATTGAGAGACTGATAGCAACTGGATGAAACTGAAAGTTCATATGTAAAAAAAGAGACTTTTATTTGGAAAGTTCAATGTGACTGAGACCGAAAATGTTAAATCCAGGTTCATTTTGAAATTAAACCCTGTAAGGCTAACTTTGAAATTACAGCAATACAAAATCTTTAAACATGCATGATATTTCATCACCCCTATTAAGATTAGTGCAGTTAGATTAACAATAAATGCTTTTTTGTTAACAGAAATGTGTATTTTTTGCTTGGTCAGTGAAAAGTTGAAAGGTAGCTTCATTATTCATTACCGTAACAATATAAAAGCTTACAGTGCAGTTCTAATTCACACTAGGTTCAGAAAAGCAGGCACCATAGTGCCGGTGCTTCACACAAATGCAGGGAGCTCAGTGATGAATCAGGGCCTTAACTCAACAAATATCCTCAGCTGGTGTAAATGGTCATAGCTCCATTGACTTTAATAGAGCTATGACAATTTACACCAGTTGAGGATCTGCCTCATGGTGGGTAATCAGAGTTACACCTGCTCTCTATTGTAAAAATAATTTTTTTAAACTGCTTCTTACTCCTGTTGGCACTGCAGAATCATCACAACTGCTGGGGAATGAGCTGGTTTCTCTTCCTGCTCACACCAGGGCCAAAACTCATTTGTATTCATTTACAGCTGTGCAATCCCACCAAGGTAAATTAGATAGTACAAGCCCATTGGACACAATAGGGTTATACTGGTATAGCTGAGGGTAGATTTGACGTACACTATGAGATAGCAAGTAGGGGAAAGAATTTGGAAAAGGAGCTACAGCAGGAATTAATCTTTTCCTCTATGATTTCCAAAATACATAGACAGCAAAGATCCTGCAAAACCAACACATCACGGGATAATAATGAACATTTTTATTTATAATGGATTTCAAGTGAGTAGATGCAAGGGAAGAGTGTGTTCAAAGCAAACCAAAAAGAACTCCTCACTTATGGCAATACCTTGTGTAGACATGCCTGGCCAGATCCTCAGCTAATGTAAATCAGCAAAGCTTCACTGAAACCAGTGGAACTATATTTATATACATAAGAAGTCTCTTTAGTGGAATTACACCAGCAGTGAATTTGGTCCTATGTACTGAGTAGACAAATGACACATATTTAAGTGAGTTCAGATATTTATTTAACCAAACCAACTATGCACTTACATGTTTATGAAAATGTATTTGTACTACAAAAATAAACAGATAACTAACATGGGTCTAAACATACAACTGCTTTGAGCATGGAATGTTCAGTGAAGTCATGTGCAGAGCTGCTGCAGAATTGGGCCCTCTGCCTGTTGTACTCTATGGAGAAAATACATTTGTAAGAAAAAAGAAAAGATAACTAAGCATGAAAATGTATGTTTATATTAAGGGCCAAATTCTGGCTAACACATACAAAGGACCTGATCCAACTCCCAGTGAAATCAAAGGGACTCATTGTCATTGCATCCTAAACAGCAAAAATCCACCTGTTACCTTCACTGAAAGTTTTATTTTCTTAAAAATTAGCATCTCTCTAAACTGCATCCTTGCCTCTGCTTTTCAGAATATTAGTTTCCTTAGTAACAGCTTGAATCACATTTTAAATAGAGTACAGTATTCGTTTAATACTCAGCTTCACTCTCTGCTCTCTCAGTTTTTATTATCCCCCTACAAAACAACTGGTAATACAGTGGGCAACTCATGAGTAGCCAAAAGACACAAAGCAGAGATCCACACTCCAAAAAGAAGCAAATGACTTAGCTGGAAGGATAAGCAGCTGGGAGCATGCAGACACCATTCTTCCTCTTCTACTCACAAGAATATTCTACATTATTTTATTGTGGGTTTGCAGGAGATTTTTTGGCTGTACGTGGTTGCCCTTTTTTGCAAGTTTCTTCCAAAAAGGACTTGTAATCAATTTGCCCATCCAGGTTGGGATCAAACTTAGACAGAATGTGGTAAACCTCATCCTCATCTAGCAGAAGGTTACAGAGCTTCAGGACAGATCTGAATTCTGGCAAAGAGAGGTAGCCACTGCTGTCAATATCCAGCTTCTTAAAGGCTCTTCGAAGGGTCTTCCAGTCCCCTCGTAACTACAGCCAGAAAGAAAAACGATTGGGATGTTGAATTACCACAGTGAAATAACAACCAAACCATTATGTGCTGTGAGGCACAATGTCCCTCTTAATATTTCATCTGAACTACCAAATTGTGAGGTACGCGGTAGCATGCTTTGCTGTACGTACCTGCGCACTCACACAGGTCAGCACACTGACAAGGTTCACATAATATAGTTTGCACTTTGATTGCTTTCTTTCCCCCCAAAGGCCTCAAATTGCTTCATAAACATTAAAGCAAAAATTTTCAAAAATGGCTGCCTGAAGTTATGCTTCTATGCCCATAGTTAGAAGCCTAAATAAGTGGCCCAATTTCCAAAAATCTAACTGAAGGCAGTGGCAGTTTGACAAATCAGGTCACTTATCTAGGCACCTAATATGGATTTATGAGTCTAACTTTAGGCACCCAAGTTTGAAAATCTTGGCCTCCAGGCTCAGCTGTGGCTGGCTCTCGTAAGAGCACAATGGTGGGGGCAGGGAGGGGGAAGTGGACAGCGCCAAGGAGACTTCCCCTCCTTTTGCTCCTGAACCTGGGCTAAGTACAATTTCTGAAAAATGTTTTATTGGTTGGCCTCTACTGGAGATGTATCTCATCCTGCCCCTTCCAGAACTCATCCGTATGGTATTTTCTTTCACGGATTCTTCCTTATCATCATTTCATTCTTGACAAGTGGAAGTTCCTGGAAGATGTCATACAGGATCTCAACACCATACCACAAGAAAAAATATGCTCCGTACTTGGACAATAGTGGCATGACCTCAAACACTGCAAGGGTCTGCCTAAAAGTAAAGTATTATGTATGCACAGGCACAGGTTATCTGTGTTTGCCTACTAAGTATTCTAATTCATCTACCTCAGATATTTCAAAGGCACCGCCAATGTCCATGGTAAAATATAAAGTGCAACATCAAATCGAGACAAGTTAAGTACAGCTCCTACTGCCTCAGCCAAAGTAAAGCTCCTACTTCATCTCATCTGATAGAGCCACTGTCCGTGGACAATAAGGATCTGCCTCATTTGTAAACACATGCAAACTGCAGACATAGCAAGTTCTGCCACTGACCAGAGAACTTCGATGGTTGTTCTAGTGTCTGGCTACCAGCTGGCAGACAAAGCCAGTACATTATGAGTATGTTCTAGCACAGTTGATCACTGGACTTTTAGATTTGATAGCTAAGCAATTTAAAATGGTTAAGAATTCACATTTAAAAGTAAAGCCACTAGCCATGACAGCCATCATACCTTTTTTCGTAGTCTGGTTGTCAGACCACCCAGCTCTGCAGTCTGCGTTCCCATGTGGGATTGGTCTATCTCACCCTGAGATGCCTGCATTGCAGCAGCCATGTTATTCCCATTCTTCCATCTTTGTCTACTTAAAGCAAAGGGCTTCAGAAACTCCAGGTATGAAACCCTTAAAGAAAAAATATGTTCATAAGTTTCTACAAAACTACCTGCATGGTATCTTAATACATCTTCTCCAGTTGAATACTGTGTTCCAAATTTTCTATCATCCTCAAAATCTATGTACTTAAATCTTGTGTATGTGATCATTTCCATGCATAATCTTCATATGTGCCCATGCAAATCAAGTAGTTGGATATCTAGCCACCTTTTCTGCATCACTAAGCATGCAATTCTGTGGCTGCCAATATAAAGTCCATCTTGTAACACTGGACTGTAAGGAACACATTTACATCTGCTTAGATTATTATTTTTTATTTTAACAGGACCCAAAATGTGAAGAGGCTCCATCCAATACAGATAAAGTACATCTCTGGCCTGCAGAATTTACAAATTAATTTCAGACAAGATGCAATGAAGGGTAAGAAGAGAATAAGGAAGGGAAGGCGAGAAATGTCAGGGGCAACATTATTAAGATTAAGCAGTTATTATGCAAAAGCTAGTGCACAGCATGGTGAAGCAAGTACTACTTTAAAGTGGGACATGTGGATAGCATTAAGGAGTAGGCTAACTAGCTGGCAAATTTCTTGCAAGCATCATGAAAGAAGTGGGTTTTCAAGAGGGATGTAAAAAAAGGAGAGGGCAGTGGCTGTGCAGACCAGATCCAAAAGGGCATTCCATAAGTTTGGGGCTATGTGGAAGAAAGCATGGAGATAGTTGTGGGAGAAGCAGACGGAAAGGGTGGTAAGGCTGGCAATATTGGTGAAGTGAAGCGTAGATGAGGGGGAGCGCAACACACAAAAAGATGAGGTCAGATATGTAGTGAGGGGCAGAAGCATGTTGAGAAAAGAGTTGCTCCTTGAGGATGGAGAAACCAGGACATTCTTGTACTGTGCAGGGAAGGAAATAGAGGAGAGTGTGAAGTAAAGACAGAAGGAAATGGGTTAGGAAAAACCTAGCGTGAAATCCTACCTCCATTGAACTCAGTGGGAGTTTTGCCATTAACTTCAATGGAGCCAGGATTTTACCCCTAACTTTTTAAAAAGCATACAGCCTGTCACTGTCTAGCCCACAGCTAATAGCATTTATTTACTGACTTATGACCTTATATTAAGTCATTGTTTATATTCAGTGCAAAACCCAACAACAATGAAACTTGAGGTTCTGATTTTAAACACACGAAATCCCCAGAAGTCAGGCATGAAATTGCATTTATGTTAGACTTCCCAATGTTATGTGATTAAGTAATGAAAGACCTTCAAATAATGCATATTATTTGATGTTAATTCCCTGGAAATCAGGTAATCTTGCAGATTTTACTGTTGGTTTTTTTCCAGACTCTAAGCTTATGTTTATATATAGAAAATTAAATTACTGGTTATTGTCGCAGTCAGAAGAACAAGGAGAATGTAAACAATGTTCCCTCTAATTTTTGACAGGCCGTGTGCACAAAAAATTTCTTCTGTGCAAATTTTTGAAGCAGAGTTTAAATTTGTGCGCCACGAGGCAAATGCGCCCAAGCGAGTAAAATGCTTATACATTTAAAAAGTTTTAATTTGCAATTTGTGATAATAATAGTTTTACACCATGTTATTTTATAAATGTCATTTTTAAATACTTAGAAAAAGGAAATTTAATCATTCTTCATGGAGCAGAAGTTAGTTTTAAGCATTACGCTTTATGATTTTTTTATAGACAATCACGAGTATATATCAAGCACATATTAATCATGATCATTATCAGTCCATAGGCTTCTGCCCGTTGGTGTCCACTTTCACCTTTCGTTCTATACACATGTCCGAAAAGATTTTGATAAACATATAATACAGACAATTTAATAAGTATGCCATTATGTCAATTTATATGGGTTTTCAGATAGAGACATCATAAGTAAAAAAAGAAAAACAAGAGTTTGTGTTTTAAATTTAAAATTTTCCTAAAAAATATCAATAAATAATTAGCAGCCAAGAATAAGATATGTAATTACAAATGCATTTTAATTTCCTTATTGGTCGAAACGTCAAAGACTGCTAAACTAACCTTACTGTTTTTCCCTGCGATCTTTTTCATTTGCCCATTCAATATAAACTCTGTCCAGATTTATCAGTCCTCCATCCAGCTAGTAAGTCTTAACACACATCAGCATGTCCAAATGATCTACTTGTAAACGATTCCATAGTTTGTTTTTTAGAGTGTTCATTAAGCTAAAGCTACGCTCACAGTTTGCACTTGATGCTAGGAATGTTCCTCCAATAACCATCAACTTTGCAAGATCCTGAAACTGTTCGTTCTGGTGAGCAAATGTCACCATATCCAGGAAATTTAAAACCAATTGGCTTTGATTATTTCAGCTACTGCAAACGTGAAATCATTGTACTGACTGACTATAACAATCTCTTCAGCAAGAAAGTCTTTGTATTTTGAACATAGGGATTTGAC